GTAAGGGTACAGAGAGCGGAAAGCATACCATTAGATGTGTAGACATGTTCTGGTTTCGCAAACGGACAGTCATCTGGTTCAGTATACACTCTATACCCCATGACTGATGTGCAGCTCCCAACGGCGAAGCGATCAGATGTGCACTGGGAATAGACTCCTCTACTGCAGAACATTTTTGTAGTTGTCTTTGTATTCTCTGTGTTGACGGTGCATGTACCGTTAATGAATTCACAGCCAGAGTTGTTGCCCCAAGCCATTGGCTCTTCCATACCCCAATTGGCAGAATAATATGGAAGATCATCAAACACAGACATCGTCAAGGCAGTGTAGTAGCCGGCACCGAATACAGTGTAGCTGCTCATCAGCTCATCCTTCGCAATGCGATGGGCCCAGTGTGACGAAACCACATTTTTACCGTTCGTGTCGTCAGCCAGTTCCATGCCCTTGAGACTGTCGCATCCATAGTGCTTCCTTGCTTTCTCCAGTGTTTTATTAGATGTCACCAGCGCACGGGTCTTGCCACGCACAGCCGTAATGTTGGACACCATGCTGGCGTTCACCATGTCCTCGTAGTTAAATCCAAGCGCATGGGCAATCTCGTGAGCAGTGATGCGAACATTGTACCGTAGTCCATACTTCCTGTAGAAAGCGAGGTTCACGCCAGCAGCAATGGGACGGCGAGATTCATCCCTGGCGCAAATAGTAGCAAATGGGGTCACAGGCTTAGCCGCCACATAGAGTACCATGTCAGTATTATTGACACCCTTGCAGTGGTGAGAAGCTGGAACGGTAAAGTAGCTGCACACACTATCCTCTTCAAACTCAGGAACAACCAACGAACCATTCACACGGTCAACGAGCAGACGATCCGCGTGCAATTTCACGGCTGCCGGAAGGACTTCATTTATCAGGTATTGCATATCCTCTGTCTTCAGGACATGGTAGTTGTGGCATTTGATGGGATTGCCCTCAAAATCCCAGATCGACATCCCCTCCTTGCTGCAGTACTTTTTCTCGTTTTGCAAATCCCTCGTTGAAGTATTAATGCGGATCAGCTTGCGTCCCCTCGTGTAGACAGTGTACGCCTGCGATGCATTCTCTCCTTTGACGGGCAACTCCCGCACAACTTTACTCAACTGCTGGGCGAGGATTCCACTCGTGCTGCATAGCTGTACAAACAACAGGAGCAGGAGGAAAAGTGAGACGTGCATCTGTCGGGGCATTCTCTCAGAGACGTGTACAATGGATATATAGGTATGCTTGCTCTGTAGCTTTTAAACAACAGATCTACAAGAAACAAAGAAAAAAAAGGAAAAAGAAACAGAGAATTCCACCACAACCACCAAAAAAACGCCAGCACAGACACACAACAGGATGCAACAAACTGGAACCCATTANCATAATTCCCAATAAGTAACAAAAGTAATTCAAGGCATCTTCTTCTTTTATACACCGCTCCAAATAACAAAAACTAGGCGTTATTAGTTCATACAGGGGACGATGAAAATGACGTGGGTTTTTTCTTCTCTCTCTTTGAGGGGGGAGTGAGAAGACTGGGGTACAATATAGTTCTACTCTACAGCCATAAGAAAGAAGCCGGAGCACATTTTTGGAAAAATCTAATCCTATCAGAGGTACATCAATTATCTCAAATTGTACTCGCATTGGATGAAGGGTGGTACAACTCAAAAGATGCAGTACCGTTTCTTTGCATT